CCGTCAATAAGACTGAAACTCCCTTGCACATAACGTCACGTTCGAACGACAATCGTTCGCGAATCGTCGGCGCGTTCCGTCCTACATTCGACCTTCGATCCTGACAGGTCGCGACGGTGACCGGCCATCCACTATTAGCATAGAGACAAAGCCTCCGCAATGAATAAGAACACTTGACGCATGGCAGTCTGTGAGCGGTAAAATGCTGCTTGAGACCGTTCGTTAATAAATTCGTTAAACTAACAAATTAGTAATGCTTTAGTCTACAATGTAGTACTTAGAATGTTTCTTTGGAATTGCAATTTGTGGAAAATAAATTTATTTTGTAAAGTATCTTGATCGTTGACAACTTTATCATTATCGTTAAATAATTTTGTTAATAAGTGTGGGAGAGCCATGCTTCGGCATGAATGGGTCGGCTCGACCGGAGCGATACCACGGCCTCAAAGGTCGGCAACGCACTCGTAACTCCTTCGTTGCGGGTGTCCATGGGCGGCGCTGAATGCTTACCATCAGGTAATCCGTCTGCTCGTTTGCCGACCATTAATATAAAAACAAAAGTTTAGTCTAGTCACTTCAGTCAGGATTCACAATAAAAACGTTTAAAATTTTCTTACTACGAAAACAAAGATTTATTAAGGAATACGAAATCATATCAAAAATGTTTTATTTACATTTCTTTCGTTGTACAAGTGAGTCATTAGTATTCTACAACATTACTTCTAACATTTTTAAAACAAAAAATCCACTTAATAATGATAATCACGCTTGATATTCACAGTGCATCATTTTAGCGGCGCCATTGTGAATCGGCTGCCTTTATCATGCAAACGCGACACTTTTGGCTCAGTTCAGATTTCTCGGTCGAAACAATGTTATGGTTACGACAACCTTACGGAAAAACCGAAGATTGCGTTTCTAAAAGATGAAATGGCATTTTTAAACCATTTGTTTATTTTAATTATGTCTAGAAAGATCGAATGAAAGTATAAAATGCACTTACAGTTTAAATAGACTTTTATTTTATGCTTTGAGGATTTTCTTTAATTAAGGAGTATTTAGCTAAATACATTTTTTATGTCGTGATGGCCCGGAGCTGATGATGATGATGATGATTTTTTTTTTTTAATATTGGTGAATGAAAAGACTGGTATAGTAATTTAGCTCCTATATAATATTGCAGTAACATAATATAAAGTCGTCTTTTGTTTGTACTGATCATGTGTGATGTGTCTGTAATTCCAGACGAGATCGTGACTCGCCGCCACATTAGTGGCCTATTGACATTGTTACAAAATGGATAATAAGAGTTACGAGAAGGATTTTATTTTGTAACTTATTTTATGGCTATAAACCGCTCTTCATTACTCGAAAAGCACTGAGAGTATTTTGAATATCTATTTGTATTTACTTCTCCCATCCTAGCTAGGACTAAGGAGATTGTCTGAAACTTACTGACTTTTATTACTGGCGGGGTAGTTCTTGAACCACCACGCTCCTACGCAAGCTCCGGGCCGGGGACTCGGTAAATTAATCTATCTACTGTAAGGTACGAGATTATCTCCAAAACTGCTGCGCTGAAACCGTTACTGTTGTTTAATAAGACAGAAACTGAACTCCTTTTGTAACGGCTCCAAGGAAAATTAATCAAGCTATATAAAATTACATATTTTAACCTCATATATAAGAGGATAACATACACATACAGAGTTCACCAGCGGTTCAAGGAACAACTAAGAAAGATCTAAGATCCAAAAACGGTGAAACATAACACCACCTTTAGCTAACTATACACAAAGTATCACATTACAAATTAACAACATCTACATTGAAATAGCAGCCAGAAATTAACGCGTATATGTTTATTGCGCCATATCACCTGCAGACCTTTGAGGTCGGGAGTCAGGTGGCAAAGAGGGCAAAGCAACGGAAACTCTTCATCAGATTAATGTATTCTAGGATTTATTTTGAAATTGAACCAACTTTCAAGCCAAAAGAATTGATCTTGAAGAAAAGAATATGATCCTTTTTAAGAAGATGTCACGGATTCATTAAAAACCGTCGTTTGAACCGACTATTAACATAATTGCTAATGAGGGTTTATTATGAGTAAGTTTCTTTTGATCGATAATTTCAGAAAAGTAGATTGGATTTATATCATATTAATAATAATATAATGAACCCTTATCTTTTGCTAATTCCGTAGGTCATGGTTAATGACTAAAGATTTTACATGTATTGATTAGTTAAAAAATTTTTTATCTCCTGGCATTATTAATTTCTCTAAAAACTGACGAGTCCTATTTTCGACAGTGCTGCCATCTGTTTTAGTTTTACAGGCGTGTCTATGTAAAATTAATACGTGTTTATTGCATCATATCATCTATCGAGGGCCCTCAGGTCAGGTGGAGTGCGTTGAGGGCATGGCGACGGAAACACTTCACCAGAGTAACGTATTGTGTTGTGCTGAGGTCCATAGGGCCAGGGGTCTACCAGTTCCATGCAAGTTGATTGTTTATTATCATTGTTGTATTGCGTTTGCAGGTTATGTGATATTTGGGATCGGTTTTGTTGCTATCCAATATAGTGTAGTTTTTAACTTGAACTAATTAGAACCTACGAAATGAATAAATTGTTTTGTTTTTCGATAAGAGCAAATCATAAAGTTCTTTCTTATGCCCTGGGTGGTCGAGAGATGAGACTCTTACTGACTTAAAACCACCCTGTTTCTTTTCCTACTCCACAGCAGAGCCGCGATACATTATAACGCTTGCACTAGCAACCCACGATTGCAGATTGCATGTTAAATCCGTAATGTTTTTTAATAAGTACTTTTACTGAAGCAACACAAGATACCACAACTGATATCTACATAGAAACAAAACAGAATACCTACAATAAAAGCAAATAAAAACAAAAAATTGTAAAAGAAATCAAAGCCAACGGCTGTCAGCTGAAACAACAGTTTACGAAACAAATAGAAAACATGATGTTTTAGTTTTACCACATACTTAGTATACAAAAGCATTTAAAAATAATAACATACTTATGTACAAACAATGCACAGAAACTAGATGCATTACGTGTCAAACACGAGCTGCGACCTTGTGAACGGGCGGCGACCGGTAACAAACCAATATGAAGGTACTTGCAGAAGTTCCATCTACATTACAATAAAGGTTTTAGGAACCTTCAGAATCTTAGAAACTACTTTTTTGTTAGGTGGTTAAATCTTTGGATATCTGTTGTCGTCCTGGTTGAGGCTAGAGAGAGTGTCAGATACTTCCCTGAGAACACGTCGATTATCAGCAGCAAGCATCACCGCCATCACATGCTCCACCAAGATCTCCGGCTGGTCCTCACTATGACCACCTTCCGACATTACAGCCGATTTTTTCCTTACAAGTTACATTTGAAAGCAATGATTTGGTACATGCGTGATAAGCTGTGCGTGTATTCCCATTTCATGCTTAGTTATTATTAAGTATATGAATTTAAACATATAAAAATTAGGAATTATTTAATTTACTACATTTTAATGTGTAGTTACTATGAGAATTAAATAAAGTTCAGTTCCATGCAACATTACGTGGCAAGCATGAGTGTTGCAACCTTGCTCTCCGCAGCTCTTTACAGGGTGACTCAGAAGTTCAATATTTATTAGAGTCATAAATAATAACTTAATGACGTTTTAATATGGATTTTCTTGGAAATATTACATTGAAATGAAAATTTTGTAAAGAAATGTTACTTTCCTACATATCCATATGGAAGTCTGAATAGATACTTTTTCTTTCTTTTATTTTTCTTTTTTTAAAAACGTTGCCCCACACTAGGATTTTCTCCTGTGTCGTAGGTGTGTTTACAAACATACAATTTCACATACGAAGATTACTCTTTAAACAGCCAGATATATGTCCAATTTATTATGAAAACCACTAACAAACGTCCATGATGGGTCATTTGCCAACAAATGATAAGTAGCAACATATTTATAGAAGCAGCTATAAAGGACAACGCCCTATATTTTCCTCTGACCTCCTGAGAAATGGGAATTACATGTAACTAACAGCACATAGCTACTAATTAATTAATACATAAAGAATTATTATCAATTAAATAAATCGAACAGGAGTATATTGTCAAGCTTTTAAAATTAAATGATAGAAATAATTTATATTGGTAGTCACTGATGTTTAATAGATGTAAATTCGCAGATTTGGCAACAAGGGTTAGGGTATTTTTGATGTCACTTTTAGGAGTTTCTTGATATGATAAGATGATATAATGAACCGTATGTTGAGATTTAACGCTTCAACTATAGGATAATCTTTACTAATATTATAAAGAGGTAAGTTTGTATGTTTGTAAGTTTGTATGTACGGGGTAATCTTTGGAACCGCTGGTCGGATTGCCAAAATTCTTTCCCTGATAGATAGCTACAATGTTCCTGAGTGCTATAGGTTAAAAAACATCACGCTACGACCAAGTGGAGCCGAACAGCGGATAAAACCGCGATAGAATAGCGCGATATAAATATTGAAATAAAAATCTAGTAACTCATCACTACACATTATAAAACCAAATGGCTTTCTCTGTCCCTATATCCCTATGTACGCTTAAATCTTTAGAACTGCGCAACGGATTTTGATGCGGTTTTTTTTAAATAGATAGAATGATTGAGGTCAGTTTATATATGTATCATAACATCTAATAAATAGTGGAGAAATTTAGCATCGACATTGCACCCGTGCAAAACACGGGCGGGAGCAGTAACACAATAAAAAAATTTACAAAACACACATCTAAGTACCATCTTAGCGCCCTCAATACCAGAACAATTAGATCAGAAACCAAACTACGCACATTGATAAAAACTTAATGACGTCACATGTTTGATCGTGTTACATAGGGCCTCTTAAGTACTGTTTCACGATTGTCCGTGAACCGAAGTAGTGTAGGTAACTAGTATAGGTGCTATTGATAAGTGGTAGAGGAAAATGCGCGACCCGACGACCCGAAGTGCGGGCGAAGGTCGGGAGGTATGCGGTGCGAGGCAGCAGCGTATAACGGATTAATATGGAAACTATTATATCTTGGTAAGTTGACGTTTAGTCTAATAAAGAAGGGACGTGCTAAATATAATAAAAGCAAATATTCTCTGTTTCCATTAAAAAAAAAGTTGCGATTAGTATTTAATTAATGAAAATTAAGTTTACACAAAATAAAAAACTACCTTTTTAGGTATTAGAGACATTTAGGTATTTTTATTTTTTATTTAGTAATTAATGGCTGGGCATTTTGCTGCTATTACGCCTTATTATAATATTTTTGTGAAACTTTTACATCTCTATAATTCCCATAAAATTTTATTTAAAAAAATATTGTATCACTTGGTTTGATCAAGAACCCGGGCTTAGGACCTTATGGTAAAAAATAACGCATACAAATAAAACAAGATTAAGTTTTGCATTTCATTGAGGAAGGTTAATTTAACCTCATTTAAGTACGTCAACAAACATTGAATATTACAATGTAACACATTTTACACAAACCGCTTAAATAGGTACTACTGCATATTAAAAATCTATTGAAACTGACAGACAATTGATCGTAAGGTTAATTTCTTTACTAATAAGAATAGAAATCACAATATGAGTAGTAATATAAAACCGAGTCGCATTCTCTGTTCCTATATCCCCATGTACGCTTAAAGCTTTTAAAGTATATCATATGTTTTTATTATAACTTTCGTGAGACATTCTAAATTAATTATTATGTTTTCGGCTTAATCACGTAATAATTTGACGAGATACTCGACTTGTGAGTAGCAGCGCGACAGTCGCTGCGTCGCGTGTCGCGGAATGCTGCTCATGAATATGGGCCTCTAGCATGGCTTGAAACTAGTCGAGTATCTCGTCAAATTATTACGTGAGTAAGCCGAAAACATAATAATTAATAGATCATATGTCATACTTATTATTACCGTTAAATTGTACAGAAAAAGTCTTCGTGGACAGAACCCAATATGTTGGTCCGATCAGATCCACACTGCTTTAGACTCAATTATCCACACACCGTCTACACTGCTAGCGACAGAATCCGACGGAGGGAGATCATACAAGAGAAAGTGATACAAAATGGTCACCCTAGGGATGACGCCAGGAAGAGGCATAACATAATAGATGTGTTCACAGGAACATGTGTTTTACGGGTGCACACCAAACACGTAGACGGATTACCTGATGGTAAGCAATCAGCGTTTTTTATGGACACTCGCAAGTTACAAGTTGCGGTGTCGCTCTTTATTGGGCAAGGGGAGGCCTTCTTAAAAACTTGCAATGCACACGGATATATTTTTAATATCATCAAGTTTGTCTTTCCTATGAAATACAGAAGCAGGGCGATAGGACATATTATCGTATTTTCATTAGAATCTAGTAACGAAAACCTTGAAGTCTGTCAAGTCATATCAATGCAACCTAACGTCACGAAATTAGAATATAAACTAAATCAATCCATTAATATATGTACATAATAGTTCGTGTTCCACTGAAACTAGGCTAGTGTTGATTAGATCGAAAGGTCACGGGTTCACAGCTTGCGTAGTTGAACTGTTGAACCACACCTACCGTAAATTATGTATTAGGTAAGTAATGTTTATTCATTTTTATCCGACTGCGGCGAAGCAAGAAGGAATATTGTGATTTCAACTGGTTGGCATTTGATCTAAATTTTGATGTATGTTAGTGGAAATGATGTTTAAGTGTGAGAGAGCCAAGCTTCGGCGCGAATGGGTCGGCTTGACCGAAGTGATACCACGGCCTCACAGAAAACAGCGGTGTGTTCCGCCGTGTGAGTGAGGTTACCGGAGGCCCAATCCTTAGTCAGACAACAGTCCAACCGCTTATAACTCAACAAACTGCGGATGCGCTTACGATGGATGCACCGTGATTATGTAACGCAGTAAAATATGTCAATGGTGTTTGCAGTTGCATCGTGTGTACACGTCCTTAACCTGACCGGGTCGTTTACACTGGCCAATAAACATTAAGCATAACTTACTAGACCCGTTTCATTTTACGCTTATATTAATAAATGCTGTACGTACGTACGTACTAAAGATTTTATCTTCTCCTTGTCAATATGGAGGGTAGTCGGTTTGAGATGTAATTTACGCAAATTTTACTCTTGTAAGTACCCGATAATGTTTAATTAAAAGCGAAGAGATTTGTCGTTATTAAATTTTGTGCGGATGATAGCTTCATTAATTAGGTAAATGTTAATTGTGTACTAATAATAGGTCTTTACCTATGAAATTGCCGTTTTGCATGAGAAAATTTAAACGAATTTTTTTAATTTGAAATGCGATGAAAATGTAACACTAATCAATAAACAAATGACTACTTTTGGAAAAAGAATCCCATGTTTTTAAAACAAAATTAATTAGCCTTAGCCTAACAAAAACTATTTTGATTTGAAATGGCCAGTACTGCAGAACGGCAATTTCATAGGTATAAAGACCTATTATATAAACGGATTTCGTCTGAATATTGTTAGTTCGATGAATCCACTTTTCTCTTTTCATTATAACGATTAAAAGTAGCCTATAAAAGAGTTTTATTACCTTTAAGCTTGATTGGTTACCTACAATAGGTGCTAAGACTAAATTCCTTACATTTTTTTGAACAAAATATATTTTAAAACCTTTTTTAGTATATTTTTCACCTCTATTTGCATTGCCTTTCATTGATTTCGTGGAAGTGATTCTAACAAGAATCATTACCCTTTTGCCATGTTTTCGCTTTATTTATTCCTGTGTCTCATTACCCAAGCTGTTCATAAATGACTATTTTCTTTTCCAATCACTAGAGATCTAGGACTAGCTACATTTTCTGTAATAGGAGGCTAATGAGCAAAAGTATTACCTGATGGTAAGTAATCAGCGCCACCCATAAGTTTTTTAAATGTGAATAGAATTTGAAGAAAGAAGGAAAATTCGAAAGAAACAAGGAATTTTCTTGTGTTTTCATTCACCTTTTTCTTTTCTTAACGCAAAACAACACAATACTCCATTGCAACAGATACAGAACCAGTCTCATCTATCGCTAGGACATCCTGTCTCAAAATAATTTATCGTTTCTAAAGGTTATTGCAAGTATGACCTCATTTTCTCATAAAAAAAATGTATGGGAGTGTCCTTATCAATCGTTTTAATGGATAATAGCTTATTTATCAGTCATACAAGGTCAGTTGTGGTCACCTCTGCTTTGAGGAAAATATTTGCTGTTAATGTTTAAGTATTTAAGATTAGCACTGTACTAAGTTACAAGGTTTTTATTGGTTATTTTTGCTTTGTTTTGTTTGGCCCTTGCTGTCTGTGATTGATTAGCGTAGTGTTCGGTCAAGAAGATTTCGTGCAAGACCTCATCCCCCTTATTACAAAACAAGGTTTATCTTTAGTCCAGGTTTAAACCATTGAGTCGGGTTTTGAATTTTGAATCTTATTATCATCTACCTTCAATTCGAAATACGAAAACTGGCTCAATGGTTTAGTCCTAGACTAAAGTAAAACCTTGTTTTGTAATAAGGCCGCATAGGTTTATTGTCCACTATTTTTGTTCCAAGTCTCATATCTCGTTGATTTCGTTCGTAAGTTGGCAAGGTTGCCAACTGAAAACCAGTATTGCTTTCTTTCTGATCTTAAATCATTCGGTAAGCAATCTGTACAGGCAATGGTCACCCGTGAAATCAAAAGTTCCAAGTTCCAAGTGCATTGCCGTCATCTTAAAAAACCTTATAATTGGTTATATTGTAATCATATTTTTTACCAGATTTAGTAAACATTACCTACGTGTTTTGCAATAAAATTTAAGTACAGGATGAAGACTATTCATGTAGCTCTTGACCTAGAGGTCAACTAATACTTATTTACTGTTCATACTTACAGACACCAAGCACAACAAGCTATCCTAAACAGTGTAATTTTTCAATTCATTTTCAACCTTGTATCGTTACAATAATACTTAATTTTCTCTGAAGGAAATTTACTGGGGTAGGGTAACTTCAAGAGCTGGTATCTTTACAACTAAATGTTGAGCCCACACAAAAGAAAATCTTTAGAATTGCAAAAGGAAATAGCTGGCACTCCTCGGCCTATCCGATGATGGATCAAAGTCTGCATAGATTGATCGTTAAATAGCCAGTAAAATGCACCAAACTATACAATGAAAATAATACTAGGAACTAAGCTATTATTTTATGTTATAGGTCGGTTCGGTCGGTTCGGTGAAAAGCAATCGGCGCCGCCCAACGACACGGGTAACTCCAAAGGAGTTACTATAGGTGCATTGCCGGCCTCTTTAGGTCTATTAGGGATTTAAGGATTGGGCCTCTAGTCACACGGCGAATACGGTAGTTTCCAACTAGTCAAATTCAATACTTTTATTCAAATATCAAAAACGACGCTTTTCTATGAAATTTGTGTGAAAAACTGAGTAATGATTTCATTGTATTTTTGCGTCAAATAGCTTACTTATTTCTTAAAATTAGCTATAAAATATCTCAAACTTAGTGTATCGATCGATCGACGAATAAAAATACAGTTATTTTTCAATATTTTATTACATTGAAACGTCCAAGTAATTTATTTTTGACATAGGAAACTACCCAATTACTGTAACTACGAAGTTTATTACCAAAACTGCTTGTCGAACCACACTTTCAGTCTAACAGCGCAATCAATTACATCTAATTACAAAAATGCAAATGTGTATACTTTCATTTAATAAACGACATAGTTCTGCATCGTAATAAAAACTTTCTTATAGGACAGTCAACATATTTTTCTGCGACAATTTATCGACTAATCAAGCGCACTAAAGTACGTTTATGTAAAACTGCAATTATACATGAGCACGCATTACCACATACGACTAGTCGTGCGATAAGTCGTGCGACAAGTCTTGCGACTGTCGCGACAAAAGGCTCAAACTCCTTGGGTTAGGCGATAGGTTGGTGGTGTTTACGAGTAACTCGTTACACGGACATGTTTATTCGGACGCCTACGATGACCCCACGCGTGGCTCGTGCCGACTTGTGGTGTAAGCCAGAAGAGATAGCACTCAAGAATGTCACTGTCATCGCTAAGGTCTTTTTTGTGTTGTTTTTAAACATTAGGCTACACTTCAAGCTTTGGAAAACCACCAGCATAAGCTGATCGACATTACAATAATTTTGAAAGAGAAACAACAGGGTGGTTTTAAGTTAGAAAGGGTTTGACATTCCCTTTCGCCTCAACCAGGGTGGGAGAAGTAGTGTGTGTGTGTGTGTGTGTGTGAGTGTGTTGACAATTAAATAAAGTGTTCATTTAATTATTTTTCACCTCAAAATATCGTCAAAAATATCAACTTATTGCTGAATATGGAAATATTGAGTTTATAAAGCTTGACGCTTCACGCCTTGCGCCTTTTTTATACAATTTATGATCGATAAAGGATGCAGATAGTACCCAACTAGCTAATTTGGAAGTCATAAAGGGATGCCTATATGAGCAATGCCTACTTAGGTAATTATCTAGCTTGTTAAGAGATGATCTAGTGGAAAATTAAATATGTTTCTTCATAATGATTTAGCTTTTGTTTTTAGAGGCACCAATCATCATTAAATATGATATTATTAAAGTTATAATTTTAATTATTATCTATTATCCTCTTAGTTGTACAATTTGATTTCAGAATTGTAGTACTATAGTGCTAATACGAATTGAAAAAAAAAGAATGAATAAATGATACTGCATTAAGTCTATGTTAGAAGAATAAAGTTGTGGACTTAATATAACCTATCTAAAATTCAGATATCACATAAAAAGAAACGAAATAAAGTTGTTAACAAACTTTTTACTGGGTATTTCAATAAAACGCGTAAAATAACAATTGAATTCTTATCTGTTACGCTATATCACCATTCATAAAAGCCCAAACAATGACGAAGCCTGCACTTATCACTCTATTGAGCCGTCATCGCCCACGCTAACGAAAATCATCCAAGTGTCAAATTGCATAGACAATCTTATCTCTGACTTGGACCACCGAAGAGTTTCAAACACAAATACCATAAACAATACTAATATAGTAATCTAAATTCATCCTAACACTATGAAGGTTCTTATTTATAAAGTTTGGTATAAAACTGTCTAAGTACAACTTAATATTGAATATTGAGACGGGTATAGCCGATTGTACGTGTGGGCCAAGCTTTAAAATAGTGTATGTATGTCTAGCCCAATTGTATCTACAGAACAGCTGGCCCGATTCCAATTGAAGTTAGAGTTCTGAATCGAGGGATTAAGGTGTAAGTTGAAGGGAATGTGTGAATTTATTGTTAGATTATGCTTTCTTGTGTTGTAAATACATCTATATTTTATGATGAAATCTAGTAAACATTTATTTGCTTTGTTTGTTGTTGATTCTTTAAGTTTGGGGCTTTGAAGGACATAAATATTATGGACTATCTAATGAATCATCTATCTAAAAGATGAATAATAATAACGCTTAATATAACACGTTATAAAATTTTCCAACAAAACATATGACATATGTATTACACATTACGTTTTAAATTTAAATTCATCAATTTATCAAGTATCAATAAAATTATATAGGTATTGTGAAACCGGCTTGGTGTTTAAAATGACCCTAGCTTTCAATCAGTTAGCATCATATTGTTTTCTTAGTGTCGTGGGATTAATAGATTTCTTTTTTACTGTAATTATTTAATAGAAGTTAAAACCAAAGTACATACTTATGTTATATTCCTTTTATATCTATGGATTTGTGTACTTACCTACAATTAATATAATATGGGTCTCAATATTTATTATTATTTATATATACACACCATATTATATACATATACGGCAGATACGTTGTTAACTACTATACATATACCTATATATTTAATTTTAGTATGCAATTTCTTACCTCTTGCATCTGCATGCGTAGTGATTCATCTGTGATCAATTAACATAGTTAATATTTCCATTAAGCGCAAGTAGCATATTGAAAATAACGTGATCTGTATACATCTGTTAGTTACCAAACAGGTATGGAGGATACATTGCGCCCACTTTCGCTAGTTATTAATTGAAGTTACATATAATACCTAATCTTTTGCTATCACGAGCCTCCCTCACTATTCCCCAAAAGGCCGGCAAAGCGACTGTAACTCCTCTGTTTTTGCGACAGGTCCAAGAGTGATCCAGATTACTTACAATCAAGTAATCATAATTACACAAGTGTAATCGTTTGTCAATATAAAATAAAAAAAATAAAACAAATTATAATTTTTAAAAAACTTCAAGAACACTTTTCATAACTGATTTGTTGGTAGTCTTCCGTGCGATATGGTCTTCTGTTTAATTTCAAAGTGGTAAAAAATTAATTGTGGAAAAATTACTTAAAACTAACTGAACAATAATAACTCCTAACCAACACTTCAGCTACAACACCTCAACCGAAACGCAATGATAAGAATGGAAAACAATTATAACGAAATCTTAATGTAATTTCAGCTTCATGACTTAACAGTTAAAGTTGATATTTCAATGAAGTTCTGTGGTGCATATGTCATTTTAATCCGTAAAGGTCGGTAAAGGGGTCATATGATAAGAGCTTACTACAAAGGTTATGTGTGGAAAAAAGAACTGAAAATTGTATGAAATTATTAGTACTGTAGGTACATTGTTTAGGTAAACTCTCTGTAAAGGAAAACGAAGCAAATTATACATTTAGTAATTGGTTCTTATTGACCTAAATTGTCAATCAAACTATACAAATAAGAAAGATAATATATGTTTTGTTTGTCCTCGAAATGAATATGTGGATACAAACCACTCATGGCATCGAGAATACCAGAAAACAGAGGAGTTACTAATGCGTTGATAGGTTTTTAAAATGACCATCGTATAGAGACAGCCTAAAGGTAATCATATCATTGCTGAGCAAACGCCTTTCTTTCATAACTTGGCGTAACTCACCAAGCTTGCTTAAAGCATACTCGCGATTTCAAATATCGAACTGGACTTTTTAAGTCTAAGTTTCCTCATGATGATTTTCCTTCACCGTTTGCCGCTACCACGACATTTGACGGTGATCCTTCCTCGCCGATCCAATCATCAAAAGTTACCCTGTAGTTCTTTTACAGAGCATCTTATGGCTATGATGATAACAAATATAGATGATGTATATTATGTAAAACTGTTTAAGTGTGGGAGAGCCATGATTCGGCACGAATGGGTCGGCTCGACCGGAGTGATACCACGGCCTCACAGAAAACCGGCGTGAAACAACCACAACGTTGTTTTTCGCCATGTGAGTGAGGTTACCGGAGGCCCAATCCTTCCCCACCCCCAATCCCTTAATCTCCAAATCCCTAATCCCTAAAAGGTCGGCAACGCACTCGTAACTCCTCCGTTGCGGGTGTCCATGGGTGGCACTGATTACTTACCATCAGGTAATCCGTCTACGCGTTTGACGATCTATTATATAAAAAAAAACCTAAATTAAAGTAGGTGGGAAGACTTTAATCTATCTATCTCTATCACCTACACCTACAGCGTGCTTATAGTTTCCCACGATTTTATCTGTGACACGTCAACCCATCCATCAACACTGTTTGACACTAAAATATTATTTGCACGTTAAACGTCAACTTAGGAATAGTGAAACTATAATATTAACACATTTTGTACTGCATTTTATAATCTTGTTTCAGATTTAAGTAGGTTGCTAGAAATTCATTTTGTGATCTATTCTTTTGTATTATTAATTTGATAGTTCTGTGTTGGTAGATAGATTTTACTGTTTGGCGTTTACATTTTAGGTTTATTTAAAATTATAATTAGGGCGACGTTCTGCATTCAAGCGAAGATGGCTTTTATAGTACTGATAACAAACACCTAATTTGGAAAACGAGAGGATTTAGTTATGTTATTCTAACTAAAAATAAATAAATTAACATGTCGTCACTACAAATGATCTATACAAAACATTACATTTGAAAAAACAAAATAATAAAATAAGTACTTATATTATACATTTTTTTGTAATAAAACTTGAACAATTAGTTACAAGGAGGTTGTAGTACGGACTGCCATTGGTTTCCACCAATGTCAATTTGTCACAATAGACCAACATTGACAAAAGAACACAGCCTGTATATAGTTTCGTAGACTACGCGTGTTAATGTTTTGTTAGAGTATTGTAATATTATTATTTATAAATACATATAAATATTTTATTCAGTATTAACATTGTTGACAGTTGTTTTCAGGCAGGTGTTGTTTGCAGGATTTTTGTTACAATTTATTTACTGTTACGAATTT